AAATAGAGCTCTGCATACTGGAGTCTAGGTGAGATTTTTTGAAATCAAATTGTCAAACAGTCACATTCTGGGTTTTGCATCTTCCTCAGGAGCCTTCAAGAGCCACCATCTGTGGTAGGATGTTGTAGAAGCCTTACATGTGATTCAGACCCCTTCTGCCTGCACTCTTAGTGTCATCTATTGCATGAATTTCACTGTTTGTAGCCCAGTTATTGAATTTATTGGTGTCTTGGGGTGACTTCATGATGTTTGTATTGGATTGAATAACAACGTCAAAATACTTAAAGCTAGTAGCAGAATTTAGAATTACTTGTGAAAACCTGTGCTGAAGAAGTCATACAAAGAATGAAAACAAACTGACTTTTTCAACTTGAAAATTGTCAACCAAAGAAAGGCTTGATTGTATTTGGAAAGTGACACAAAATCACCTTCCCAAAAGTAAGTTAGTATTTTTGCCGAAATTTTTCAATTTCAAACCATGCCTCCAGTTATGCTATATATTCTTGAGCACCATCTACTGGTGCTGCATTATTAATTAGCTATTTATGAATATATGAATTTCTTCTCTAATACAATTAATTAGAATCATATAATCTTTCCAAGTTTATTTAAAATTGAGAAGGCAGAACATAGTCTGTTATTTATTAAATTAATATTTCCTCTTAATAACAGGGAGAAAACGAATACTGGTGAAATTCACTTAGAATCTGAAATTAATAAGAGAAATGTGTTGATTCTTAATGGTTTGTAACATTCTGGACCAGAAAATGTGCAAGTCCATGAAATTTTTTCCAATTTGCATTTGTTCTCAATCTTTTGGAAAAACAAAATATTTTTCTTCACTTCTTATTTAGGTATTTAGTGAATTTCATCATATCTGTATTATGGCCAGCATCTTCCATTTTATTTCTTTGCTTCACACCAAATTACATAACATTTCTCTTGAAGTGGTCACACCAGCTTTGGATTTAACATTTTTCCTGACTTGGAGCTGGGAAATACAGCTTGGTGTTCTGCAGAAGAATATGTAATGAAGAGTAGAAAGTCTTTTCTAGCCAAAGGGGATTTTGAAGGGCCTTGCATATCTGTGAAAAGTGCGATGTGGGAAACAGACACCAGGGGCACTTCTATGTAAGCCAAGAGGCTCAGTGTAACTATCCCTCAACTTTTACCTGTAAATTGAGTCTATCACAGTTTCCTTTCTTGTGTACATAGGACATATCTAAGTGTAACTCTGGAGTCAGTGAAACATGAGGATGATGATAATAATAATAATGAATAAAATCTTCGTTGAAAATAATGCAATTTTTTTTTCAAATGTGTGTCTTCAGTACTATAGACAGACTTTCTTATTTGCTCAAAGGAGTGACACTGCAGGCTGCAACAGTAACCTTTACTTGAAGAGAGTTCCCATAAGGGTGACAGGTGATTGAGTAAGAGAACAGTTCATTCTCCAAAGCCACTTGCTTTAAACTGCAGCCTTCCTTTTCAAATTTGCACCAAAATTGTCACTGATAATTCCAACTGTGTTGAATTTTGTGCCATGTTCACTAAAATCTGGACTGAAATAATCTAGCTGCTGTCACCAAGATACCAAAGATCTCAAAGTGCTTCTGCAGATTTGGGGGAAAAAACCCAAATAAACAAGCTCTTTAATTTATTCCACTCAACATATTAAATTGGGTAGGCCTCATTTTTCTCATTAATACAGAAATTACTTTAAAAAATTATTTTCCTCCCTCTTTCCTAGTTTGGATCAAGCCCAACCTTGCTGAAACAATTGCATTGAGTCTAGAAAGAAGCACTATAAATTTAGCATTCACTATGTTGTGCCTATCCCTACAACACCACTACTGAGTGACATAACACTTCTTTCAGTGCCTTGATACTTTCTTTGTAGTACAGATGGCACCACGTGTACCATGCAGGGCTGACAGCCCTCCCATGAAACAGTGTGAGATTGCATTAATACATTATTCCTAGGTTTTAACAGAGGTACTCAAACAAGATTGATCTACTCAATATTTCCAAATTACGGGCATAGGTTCACTTTGCATCTGCCCTTCAGGCTGTAGCTTAGGAATAAAAGTATGCACAAAATGGGACCATTCCAAACACAAATGATTCGTATGCCCAAATTAAACAAACATATTGCCACATTTCTACCTATTTATATTTTGCAGACTTAAACATATCCTGACTCTCACTTCTAGACTATCAAAATAATAGTTTTTTTCTTTTATCTCAAGTGCTGCTTGACAGCTGAAAAACAAAATTTTTTCTCAAATTGGCCTCGATTCCAGTAGAAAAACACCTGCAAGAGGAGGTATTTGTGTACTCAGAAAAATAGTATAACGTATTTTAGTTCCAGTCATTAAAACCCGAATTATTCAAGTCTAATTGCACAAATCTTGTAAAGAAATCATCAGAGTGCTCTGTGCTGCCATCCCATCCCACCCTGTCCCATCACTTCCCACCCCTCTGCTCCTCAGCTGTCATAGTTAACCCAAGCATGACTTGTACAACTTCCACCCCCTCCTTCACTTTCTGGACAAGAGGTTAAGGAGTCTTCCATCCCAGATTCCTCTCCAGCCTTGCCATGTCTTCACAAAATTGAAAAGTTCAAGTCAATCACTGGGTTGGAGAATCTAGGAGATGTCTAAAGACAATTGCTTACCATACATTATGTATTAATTATTTTTATTTTCCACTCACAATTAAAAGAGCTACAACTTGCCAATGCCATAGAAAACAGGTAAAAGAGTTCATTCAAGTTGGTTTTTTTCATTACTTACCTTACAGTTCTTCATTTAATGTAAGGGAGATAAAAACATTATTTAAATACCGCATTGTATGTACACCTTGGATTTGTTCTGCTCATGTTACCCTGTCAATGAACAGAACTTCCCTTTGAGTACTTTAAGCAACATGATGATCACCCACAGATAATACGAAATGTCACCAAATGTGAAAGAATTTGATTATCTCTAAGCCAGTAACAGTTCGGTTTTCACTGCATTGCATTTGCTGGGCATAGACCCTGAACATATCTCACATTTTCCTTGCTTTGGGTAGATACTTTTTGTTATATTTTGACAACAGGGATATAACATATTTATGAGTGTAAAAGCTAGCAGGGATGTGGTTTACAGCTTATACCTATGGAAAATACAGTAAAAAGCTATAACCATGTTTTGGTTTACTTTGGTCGAGAGTGGTTTGTGACCAGCAATACCTCTGATCAGAATTTGTGCAGCGTGTAATTGTAATCATAAAATCTCTGTGCTGCTGGAATTCAAACCTTGCAGGGGCTAGAACAGGACCGTAGGGGAGAAAACCGTTTGCTTTAAGGATTGGTTGGTTTGGATGTTGTCCAGATATTTAAACTTTCATTTCATCGGGGTGGGAGGTCGTGTCCAAAACCACACAGCCATGTTTCATACGAACTTTGCAGGCGTGGAGGGGCTGTACTGCCCCACGAACTCAGCAGGGCCTTGTGCTCTCTGCAGAATGGCAGCAGTGGGAGCACACGGCAGCCAGGCTGAGAGCCGCTGACTGACAACAGCATTTATTAAAATGTCATCTCCTAATTTTCACGCCGGATATCTGCTGTCGTGCAGACGACCCCGATATCTCATGCCAGCGGGAAGAACCAGAGGACGACCCAAAACGACCTGGGGAGCAGGAGGGATACAGCGGGGCGGGAAAAAAAGCATACCCAAGCATACCCAGATGTAGCAAAATTTAAAACAAAAACAGAAGAAAAAGGGGGTGCCTTTGTGTGGCAGAGCTTTTGTCATGAACCATCCCCGTGTGACCCCACCCGCCGCTGACGGTGCCACTTCAGCCGCTGTCGCCTCGCAAACTCCGCTCCCAGGCACAGGGCACCGCGCCGGGCCAGCCCCGCCGGCGCTCTCCATCCTTCCCGAGCGAAGAGGGCGGCAGGCGGCAGCGGGGAACGCGTGCGGCTGCGCTGGGGCACAGCCTTATCTCTGCCGGGCAACAAACACGGCGTTAATTGCAGCCGCGCTGAGAAAATTGCTATTGTTTCTAGTCGGAGGCGGGCGGCAGTTTGAGAGGTTTTATCCCGGGAGCCCTGTATCAGTTAATCTGCATCGCGGGGCCGAGCCGACAGCTCCCGGGGCTGCGGCGAGGGGGAGGTTGTGCTTTGGAAGAAAAAACAAGAGGAAGGAGATCAAGTGGGAGCTCCCCGCCCCGGCGTCCCCGTTTCCCTCGCTCCCCGCCCGCGGGTTTTCTGTCGCCGGGGCGCAGCCGGCCCCAGCGCTGGGAGCGGCGGCCAGGAAAGCCCGCGGGGCGCAGCCAGCGGCGTTCCTGGGGCGCGCTGGGCGCCGAGCGGCCGTGACGCGCGCACCGCACCGCGGGCCCGGCCGCCGGGGCGCGCACACGCGCGGAGGGGGCGCAGGCGCGCGCACGCAGGCGCCCCCCCCACTTCCAGCGGGGGCGCGCACGGGGGTGGGCGCGCACATGCGCGCACTCAGGGCCCGGCTCCCGGGGAGGCGGGCGGGCTCCGCAGGCGCGGGCGCGCACACGGGCGCGCGCGCACGCAGCGGCGGAGGCGCACGCAGCGGCAGAGCCGCGCTCCCGCTGCCGCCGTGCTCCCTGCGCGCCCGGCGCTCACACCGCTCCCCGACATCGGCAGCCAAGGACCCCCCGCCGCTGTCCGGCCATTAGAGCCTGAGGGGGGAGGAGGAGGGAGGAAGGAGGAATAAGTCTATTAGTAATAACAACAACAACAACAACATCAACAAAACCCACCAACAAATCCGCACTAGCGCCTTAGTCCTTCTCTCAGACCGTCGACTGCCTGGCATCGCCGTGCATCGGGCTGCTGTGCTGAGACTTTGTTT